CACGAAGTTGGATTTCATCTTTAGCCTGATCACTTGATCTGATGGTGGAGCCCAAATACTAGAAAACTTAGGTTGATTTTAAAAGCTAACCGTTAATTGACTGAGGTTGTGTTGTGGTAGTCGTTTCAGTGGAAAATGTCTTAGTTTTCGAAGTATTGATCTCTAGCCCAATGGCCTGGGTAGGCTGATTAATGCGATGGACAGCAGGCTGGACCTTGTCCATGATGCCCCAAGTCAAAGGTAGCGTGGAAGTTGATGAAGCACATTGTAGTAGATTGTTAGAACGTTTAGCGGTGTTCCGGAATCCTACAGAGTGAAGTTGTTCAACACAGTCTTCCGCGGCGAAACACCTCTTGGTTCGGGTGTATGCGGGTGTCTCTGACGACTGCGAAGCGGTTAAGCAGTATCACCCCAGAGAGCAATCCGCTGTATGAACGAAGCTGATGCCCCTATAGTTTTCGCATCTTGATCCGTTGCCCTTTTTGGAATAGGTTGCCCAATCTTTTGAAAAGACTTTTTTGAATTTGGACGAGTCCTCCGGCGAGCAGTCAGGTGGAACTTGAAGCGGGTACGTACAAGGGTATGGTCCATGCCGGTCCCGTTTTGGTTTCTGCGCTGCAGTCTTTCACTGAAGAAGCCATGCAAGCACGTAACAAAATGTAATCAACCTGATATGCCGTTCGATCATTTAAGTACCACGTAAGTAGGTGTTTTCTGGGGGGCGGGTGTTGATTACGACCAGCCGGTTAAGGTCAGCAAATGTGACTAGGCGTTCGCCATTTTCGAAACCTTGACCAAGACAGAAGTTGCCCAGAACATGCCGAATATGCTCGTCTAATGTGTGTGCACTCCAGTCTCCCACGATAAGGAGTATAACGCATCTTGAACTGCAGTCCACTGTGTCTTGAACTTGATAATGGAAGTCATTACTGATGGGCGCTTCCTAATGTAAAGTTGGAGCATAGACAATGATGACAGTCAGGTTAAGCGGCTTATCTCTGAAGCGCACAATGCCAATCCTGAAGAGATTGATTCCCAAATCATTGCATTGTTGGCCCGATTGCTCACAGCAGTTGTTACCTCGTGTAAGCCGGAGTTTACACTTGGTCCTCTGTGATACAACCCATAGGTTGCATCGCCATGTGGTACGTTGCTTTTTGTGCCACAGTTAGGCAAACGGACTTCGGACAAACAGCAAAAGTCTGACTTGTGGTTGTGCAGTGAAACCGCACTCACTGCTTTCTCGTAATAATAAAAACAATAATAAAGGATAGATGAATTGGGATACAGAACAGAGTGGAAAGACGGTGAAACAGTCAAACACGGGAAAAAACTAGGATAACAAAATTTTTCGTGTTCCACCGTACACTTTTTGATACATTTTTAGTCATGATCCTGGGAGCTCCATTTAGCGAAAGGTACTACGTAACTCAGTGTCCTGATTAAGGTTTTCATACCCTCATGCCAAGTCTCAGCTTGACAGCCACCGCATGTATACATTGCGTACGAGTCTGAATCCAGACTGTGCCGAACAGTTCATAGTACAATCATCTCTATAACAAAGTTTCACTTTTCAGTTTGTACAACCATTAACCACGTATATTCGTGCGCCGGTTTTGGTTGCTGTCTTCTGGCTGCCCATTTGGATGAACATCAGAAAGACAGGTTAGGTTGAAAGTAGGACCGATGAGAAAATTGAAAAGTTCAGTGGTCTAAGGTTGCAAAGAAATTGAGAAGATGCACGAACGCTGCTATTTACAACACCCAGCCATACCACTCAGTGTCTCTAATTATCGGGTACGACCATCCCGAGGTCCCCTGCCAGGGAGCCTAACAAGACCCGTGACCCAGTCTCCTGGTTAGGGTTTTCATACCCTCATTCCAGGTCTTAGCTTGACCACCCTGGGCTTTATTCCATCCACTACCTGCCTCGGCAAACATCGCTCGCCGTGGTAACCTATCTGGTGACATGCGTAACACGTCCCAACCAACGTAATCTATGGAAGTCGACCACTTGCTCCAGTGGGCGACCGCGGATACCCAAACCTCTGCGCCTAACCTGGGCATTGCTCGTCCGGCTGCCCCACCAGATTCGTGCAATTGCTGCGTAGACAGCGATGTTCAAACACCGACAGTCTGTCTTTATCTTGTTTTCTTAATGGCCAAGTTTCTGTTCCATATAGAAGAACTGGCCGAACTGCTGCAGCATACACTCGACCCTTTACAGGCAGCTGGATGTCGCGACGGCGCCACAGATGTCTCAAGTTGGCAAATGCCAACCGAGCCTTCTGGATGCGAGCTGACACTTCATCCGTGATGTGTCCACCGGGTGAGATGTAGCTGCCCAGATAACAAAACTTCTCCACCTGCTCTATTACTTCCCCAATTAGAGTGAGGCTCGGTGCTGGACCAACCCAGTCTTGTAATAGCATTTTACACTCTGAACGTGCAAAACGCATACCGGACATGCCTACACTAGCACTTAAACTATCCAGAAAAGCCTGTAACTTACCTGGATCTTCACTCAGTAGCACAACGTCGTCTGCGTAATCTAGATCATACAGCCTGTCACCGGGTAGTAAATTGATGCCACTATCGTCGAACGAGGACAGGGCTGTTTCCATAATCAGATTTATAACAAAGTTAAATAGAGAAGGGGAGAGAGGGCAACCCTGTCGAACACCACTTTCTGAGGTGAACTCGGGCGTAAAAGTGTCGCAAGCTCGGACTCGACTTCGGCTATTAGTATAGAGGAATCGTAATATTGAAATAAGCTTTTCGGGCAAACCTTTCAGAGAAAGGCAGCGCCAGAGTTTAGAGTGGTCGACTCAGTCGAAAGCCGCTTTAAGATCCAGGAAGATAGAGATGGTGGGTCTACGAAAAGAATGTCGGTGCTCCAGAGTTTGGCGACGAGTGAAGAGCGGAGTATGATGCCAGCGTGAAGTTTAGAGACGATGTTGAATGAACTAATTCCTCTATTGTTTTCACAAGAGGATCTGTCATCTTTCTTGTAAATCGGTATGATGACCGATTCACACCATTCGGCTGGAACTTCTTCCCTTTCCCATATTAAGCCCAGAAGTTTTGTCAACTCCAAGTCCAACGCTGAGTCTCCATCCTTAAACGCTGATGGAAACAGCCCATCTGGACCAGAGGCCTTATGTTTTTTGAGATAGCTCATTTCTCGGGAAACCTCCATTTCCGATGGAGAACTAGTCTCAGTTGGGGGTATCTCTCCAGTCTACGCGGAGAGTGAATGATAAGATGTCGATGGGGACCAGTTGAACTGAGCTTTGAAATGTTCAGCCCATCGATCAAGACGGCGTTGCTGGTCGTGAATCAGTGTGCCATTGCATTCTTGAAGTACCTCACGCATATTTTCCTAGGGCCCGTATTCTTAATTAGATCGAAGAGGTCAAGGCCATTGCCAATAGCCGCAGCTTTCCCCATCTCTTTACACGTTCCTCTCCACCACTTCTCGCGGTCATTCCTCTGACTCTTGATGAGCTGGCGTTTAAGGGATTTGCGGGCTGTGGCATCTGGAGGAAGGGTTCTGCGGACGTCCAGCAGGGCAACCGAGGTCGACGATATCCATCATTTGTGTTTTGAGCTTGAGGCAGGGTCCGACGTTGTTTTACCGATATCTGCCTAGCTTCCTTGATTTACTTCCAGTATTCATTGATTCCTTCGACTGGCGGTTTAACTGACAGGCGATCGGAGAGCTCCGCTTCGAAGGCCGATTTGCATGAAT